AGTTACGAGCTCCGTCACGGAACTAATTAAACTGGTGAGTCAAAGCCCCACTGTATATATATTATTGATTTCAGAGAGGAAGGGAGAGAGACAGAGAGAGAGAAACATCAATGATGAGAGAGAATCATTGATTGGCTGCCTCCTGCACACTCCCTACTGGGGGGAATCTAGCCCACAACCCGGGCATGTGCCCTTGTCCAGAATCAAACCTGGGACCCTTTAGTCCACAGGCTGGCGCTCTACCCACTGAGCCAAACCAGCGAGGGCTGAAACAACTTTTTCTATCCCTTCTTCTGACAAAGTAAAAATGTGACACCAATGATGTTATGATCAAAGCCATCGTTTCTGATTCCCAGCTCACAACGGGCTAAAGACATATTTGCTGAATGAATAACTTTCTATGATCTTATGAGGCCTTAAAACCTCACTGAACACCATTGGAAACAGCTGGGAAGAAAGCTGCTTCCCATGTGATCTTAGAAGTTAATAATCTTTGAAAATCAAAGAGCTTTACAAGAGTCCAGCACGGAGTGGGAGTGACCCCGCCTTCTCCTGATTTCCAACTTGAAAACCAACATAGTCCCTAACCTAACAGTGGTACTTATTTTGCTGATGTAAAAAAAATCTTGAGAAATTTTTGTATGTCATCCTTGTGACGTTTTGTGTCCTTGTTTTTTAGAAAGTCAGAAGAAAGCAGCAGGAAGGTGTGGCTCAGTGGTTGGGTGTCAACCCATGCACCGAGAGGTCACGGTTCCACTCCTGGTCAGGGCACATGCCTGGGTTGCAGGCCCAATCCCAAGTAGGGGGCGTGCAGGAGGCAGCCTATCCATGTTTTTCCCTCTTCCTCTCCCTTCCATTCTCTCTAAAAGCAATCACAAATATTTTTTTTTAAAAGAAATCCAAAATAAAAATTGACATATTATCAGCTCTAATATTGAGAAATATTATTATTTATGCTGACCCAGTAATAAATACCATGCGTCTCTTACTTACCCCATTAAGATCTGTCTGAGATATTTTGCCAAATATTGCCAAGCAGTCAGGTTTTTAGTGCATCCAGCAAAATCTAAGACGCCGAACAGGACCTCCAGCCCCAGTTTATGGTGCTCTTCTTTGTCTGCAATGGTCACAACAATTAGGATTCACCTAAGAAACTGAGGCACACGAAGCTAAAACAACATTTCACCAGTTGATACAGTATTACTGAACCATAAGCCCTCTAATTCGGCTAAAAATGTAAAACAATTCATTGTACTCGTACTCTCCTGTGAAGAATCTGAAAAATTCAATAATTCAGTCCATGCTACTAAAGTCGGGATGCGGATTCTCATCTCTGAATGGGCTATATAACTGAATGCCTGACTTAGGGGCATCCATCCCCCCATCCCCACAGTCAAACACCCATGTCTAACTTTTGACTCCCAAAACCCTTAACTACTAATGGCCTACTGTTAGCCAGAAGTCATACTGATCACACATACTCTGTCTGTTATGTGTATTATATGCTGTATTCTTACAATACAGTAAGCTAGAGGAAAGACAATGTTATTAAGAAAACCATGCCCGGCCAGTGTGGCTCAGTGGTTGAGTGTCGACCAATGAACCAGGAGGTCACGGATGGATTCCCCGTCAGGGCACATGCCCGGGCTGTGGGCTCGATTCCCAGTGTGGGGCATGCAGGAGGCAGCCTATCAATGGTTCTCTCTGATCACTGATGTTTCTAGCTCTCTCTCCCTCTCCTTCCCTCTCTGAAATCAATAAAAAAAATATTTTTTTTTAATCATAAGGAAGAGTTACAGCATCTATTGAAAAAATCCTGCATGTAAGTGGCTCTGAAATCAATAAAAAAAATATTTTTTTTAATCATAAGGAAGAGTTACAGCATTTATTGAAAAAATCCTGCATGTAAGTAGACCCACACGGCTCAAACCCATGTTGTTCGAGGATCAACTGCACGGACCGAGAACATTGTTTAACGCACCTGCCCTGTGCGGGCAGGTCACACACTGTCTCCTACGAGGAGAGGGAATGAGACAGGCTCGCTATATCCTGGACTTAGGCTGGTTTCTCCCTATGAAGCTACACTCTCCTCTGTATGGAGCTGCAAGGCAGCAGTGATTGCAACGAGGCGAGTTATATACACTCCAGCCACTTCTCTTTGGCCGACTGCTGCCTAGCATGCTACAGGAGCATCAGCAAACTTTATCTGTAAAGGGCCAGACAGTAAACATGTAGGCCAGGGGTGGGCAACCCGTGGCACACGTGCCAAACATGGCACGCCAGTCACCTTTGCTGGCACGCGAAACCCTCTCTTATAATCTTCCATTTACAATGGTGAATCTTTGTTCTCAGGGATGAATTTTGTTAAGTCTCGTAAGAGGAATAGCCTGACAGATGAAAGCAGTAGCTCGTGCCTATCTCTGAAGGTCACGAAATAGAAACCTGACGTGAAACCGCTGTCATCAGTGATGCAGCAGCAAAAGTCCCACTGATAATATCAAATGGAGTCATAAAGTTTTCTGTCGGACCATCAGTGTACATGTATACACTAAAAAACAAATGTATTTTTCATCATCATAGATTGTGTTTTTATTGCTCGAATGGTTTGGCACGCACTCACAAAAAGGTTGCCCATCCCGATGTAGGCTTTGTGAGCCGCGTGGTCTCTGTGCTGCCACAGTGCAAGCAGCCACGGACACCAGGGACATCATGCCAGAGCACAACGTAGCTGGGCTCCAGGACTCAGATCAGGTGAGCATGCTGGTTTTGGCACGTGCTCACAAAAAGGTTGCCCACCCGATGTAGGCTTTGTGAGCCGCATGGTCTCTGTGCCACCGCAGTGCAAGCAGCCACGGACACCAGGGACAACACGCCAGAGCATGGAGTGGCTGGGCTCCAGGACTCAGATCGGGTGAGCAATGGATTTGGCCCAGGGACCTTGGGCCGCTGACCCCCTCGTCCACGGCGTGTCTGCCCACAGGGATATAAAACACACACGACTCACCTGATTTCCTCAGTAACCTATGGAATTCTAACATCAGCGTATGAGACGGTACAATCTGATACAAAATCTGGAAGAAAAAATAATCTTGTGATATTTGCACATTCAAAAGGCATTTCTCAAATGTCAGCTTACTTTTCAAATAAAGTTCTTACTTGAGAACAGCCCTTCAGTGAATGAATCATTGATTTAAAAGATACTTAGCTTTTATCCAGTTTCAATTCGGGGATAGAGAGGATTCCCTGTAAAGCTATTGTTTAAAAATCACTGATAATAACTAGATAATCAGAGGAGTAGGGAAAACAGATGGAGACTTTTTATTTTTCTCCTTATACATTTTTTATACTGTTTACCACACATAAAAATTTAATTTCTTTTCAGAAGTCAAAACTGAGAGAAAAAAAATAAAGGAAGAAAACTATTTCACACAGGCCCAGCCAGTGTGACTCAGTGGTTGAGTGTCGACCCATGAACCATGAGGTTCCCGGTTCAATTCCCCGTCGTAGGCATAATTAGTGAGGACCTCTCGGGCCCCATCTTGATCCCCATAGAATTCCAGCATCTATAGAAAAAAAACATAGTATCTTAGCTAAATTTTGTCAGACATGAAAGATAATGCACAAGTTAATGATGGGCACAAAAACATCATAAAACTGAAAAAGAGCATTTGTGGTGTGGGTTATGGTGGTCACGCCCGTTTCTGCTCTCCGCAGCATGTTACAGCCTCTGTGGAGGGCAGAGGTCACTTACAACAAAGGCCTGCTGGCTTCCCACTGTATCCTTATCCTATTTGTTACTGAAAACGCAACAACTTCACATAAGAACTGTTCCTATAAGAAATGAAGCGCCCTAAACAGTTTGACTTAGTAGATAGAGCATTGGCCTGCGGACTCAAGGGTCCCAGGTTCGATTCCGGTCAAGGGCATGTACCTTGGTTATGGGCACATACCCAGTAGGGAGTGTGCAGGAGGCAGCTGATCGATGTTTCTCTCTCACTGATGTTTCTAGCTCTCTATCCCTCTCCCTTCCTCTCTGCAAAAAATCAATATATATATATTCTAAAAAAAAAAAGTACTGCCCTATAGATAGCAGAATTTTAATTCACATTATCTCTAAGAAGAAAATTCAGCTTGCTTTTCCATTTCATTTATCCATTATTTCT